ACCTCAAGAAGACAAAAGTTGATACCCGAAGAGGACCAATTATGAACCTAGGTCGAAATCAGATCCCGAGGCACAAAACCACACTCTAACAGCACGCTCTAACGGCGACTCAAGGGTTTTTTAGAAGATTGGAGAGCCGAATTAGGGGGCAGACTTGTAGAGGGATTTTTGAGAGGTGATTTCATATCATTTGGATTAGTATTGGATTTTTGAGGGATTTTCAAAGTGAGTGATGTTCTCTGTGAATTTAGATCTTTCAGAAATAAAACCGGTTTACAAATTTTTGGATTTCGTGACTTTTGTAGTATTTTTATGGATGAAAATTTAGATTCTTATTGGTATGCTTGTTGTGAATGTGTGTAAGAGATTTGAGATCAATCGAATAGCTAGATCGATACATGTGAAGGTTTTTGTAGGCTAAGGTCTCAAAATTTAGGGTTTTAAGGACCAGTAAGGTTTTTTTAGATATCTAGCAATCTATGAGTTGGTTTGAAGAGATTTTTGGTTTTATCAATAGAAGACTTGATTTCCTATATGCATGTAAAATTTGAAAGCAATCAAACGGTAGAAAAAGGAGATATTGGTGCTAGAAGTTTGGCATTAGATTGGAGAAGGAGAAGCCAACTGACATCCGAGTGGAATTTTGAGGTCATCAACTAATTAGACCTTTTGTTGTAATTTTCTTTCACCTTCCACAGTTAGGTGCCTAGTGCATTCTCAAACAAGACTTCACATAATACAACAATATTTATGTATTCTTCAAGCATGTCATGACTTTCCAACAACATGACATTTTGGATACAACATGACTTTAGAGTTTATATCTAGAGATTTTTGGTGGCCAAAAATGTGGAAGGTGATAAAAAAAACTTTGTACAATCATGTGATACTTGTTCAAGATCCAAAAATCTTTGCCATAGACCTTATAGACTACTTCAATTGTTACCTATTTCAAAATAACCATGGTCTTCTATTTCTATAGATTTTATTATGGATCTTTCAGTCTCAAGTTCACATGATTCCATATTCATAATTATAGACTGCTTCACCAAAATGGCACATTTTATACTATGTACAAAATTTATTTCAAGTGAAGAAATAACTCAGCTTTTTATTGACAATATCTATGGCTATTATGGATTGCCAAAGAATATTATATCGGATAGGGAGACTTAATTTGTATCAAGATTCTAAAGAATCTTATTCAAGATTTTAAAGGTGGATATAAAGCTTTTTTTGGCTTTTCATTCTCAAACTAATAGGCAAATTGAATGGATGAATCAAATTTTGGAGCAATATTTGAGGTATACTATCAACTATCATCAAAATGATTAGACAACTCATTTGCCATTGGTAGAGTTTGCATACAATAATTCAATATATTCTTCTACTCAACAAACACCTTTCTTTGCTAATTATGATTAACATCCATGACTTGATACTTTTGACTTTTCAAAAGTTGATAATCTTATGGTGGAAGATTTAATAAATTATTTGTCAGAGCTACATGCAAAAATAAAGATACAATTAAAAGAAACTCAAGAACAACAAAAGACCAACACAAATGCCTATCACAAGGAGCAATCACAATTCAACATAGGTGACAAGGTATGATTTCTTCATTGCAATATGAAGACTACTTGTACTTGTAATAAGTTGGACTATTGTAGACCGGGACCTTTTTCTATTTGTGAACAAATCAATCATGTTGCTTATTGATTACATCTACCGGAGTATATGGAGATCCACCATATATTTCAAGTGTCCCTTCTTGAGCCATATAAGACAGTGAATATTTTGAGAAGAAGACAAATGTCATCTCCTCCTATAAAAGTAGATAATAATCAAGAATTCGATGTAGAAAAAGTCGTAGATTCAAGGCGGCACCGAAATTGGTTAAAATATCTTGTTCATTGGTGTAGATATGATATTAGTGAATGCACATGAGAGCCATCAAAGAATCTTGAAAATACAGTAAAGAAAGTTAAAACTTTTTATCAACAAAATCCATCAAAATTAAGATGAAGAATAGCAAATCTTTGCTATAAAAGAAACAATATCAAAATATATATATATATATATATATATATATATATATATATATATCTTCTATCTTTCTTTTTAGCTTGTGTATATTTGTGATGCTAAGGAGATAGAGAACCAACAACCACCAGATTCAACTCAAGAGCTTTTATTATAAGATTTACTAGATGAGACATTACAATTGTTACAACCTTCAAGATGACAAAATTGAGATGAAGATCCTTAAGATCGACATATTCTTCCTCAAATAGATAGCCAGATATAATGTATTTGGTATCACAATCTTAGAAGAGACTCTCGCTATTTGGTGATTTTATTAAAAGTAAGAACAACTCCTGAGAGTATTTCAAATGTTTTATTTGGAGGAAGTTATAAAGGCCTCAACAATAACCAAATAATAGGGTGGTATTTTTGCCTTAGTATAAAACACTATTGATGGTTGAGAGGGCCTAACAACCATCTTCAAAGAGAGCAAAGATTGGAATAAGTAGCAAATATAATTTGCCGCATCTTAGACTTCCTCAACATATGAAGACCGCTCCTCATAGAACTCGTCTCTAGAAAGGGGGATAATGTAACTGACATATATATTTACCTCAATAATTACTTATATGATTAAATAGAAGTAGGTAAATATAGATTAATTTTATAAAGTCTTTTAATAAGCTTCTTAAAATCTTCAAAGACGCAGTTTTGACTTTAAATGTATTTGTAGGTTAAAAACTTGGCCAACAAGTTAACCACATATTGGTAGTTTGTAGAACAAGTTAACCATGTAGCACATACATACATAACTTGCCTTACAAGTTAAGACATGTGGCTAGCAAACTCAACATGTTTTGAAAGTCCTATATGACATCGCCATGTAGCTCCTACTTAAGAGTATATATGGAGGCAAGAGTAAAGCCTTCTTCATTCTTACCAACGCCATTCTAATTCTTAGTCTTATTTCAAGCCTTTCTAATCTTCTTGTTTTTCACAATAGCCATTCTAGTTAATATTACATTATCTTTTGAGTGACTTTCTAATTCTCTTCAGTGACATAAGAGTGTGTCAAGGATTCTCTTTCTTTGAAATTCATGTCTCTAATTCATATTCATTTACTCCAAAATGACCTCTCTTGCTATTGTTTGGAATGAAAGAAAATGGATGTAGAATCTTTTTAACCTACAAATACATTTAAAAGAAGTTTCTTTAGAAGCAACGCCATTCTAACATGCATGAAAAATAGTAAAAAAGAATGAAAGAAATGGATGTAGAATGTTGAGTCGACATATTAGGTTAATATCACTTGATATATTATCAAAATACCAAGTAATACTTCACAAACTTGAAAATATGAAAATAAATAAATAAATGATAATATTTTAGATTTGATATTTTGAGTGATTATGAAAATATCCAATATTGAATTCCAATTAGTTCAGCATTAGAGCCATGTTTGAACCCTCTCTAATAGATTTATTTAGAAAAAATGAAGGTTGAAAATAAACAATTGTACATTATAATGTGATCACAAAATGAGATTTTAAAAAATAATAAAAAATAATTTTATTTGTGTATGAAAATTTCAGAATATATTAAAGATATTTTCTTTTCATATAAACAAATGGTGATTATAAACGGTGGAATGTTGATAGAAAGTTGCACAATCAACAATTGTTTGTTTTCCATGCAATGTTTCTCTTTCCATTCTTGTTTTTATTTTTATTTTTTAAAACAAATTTCTATATTCTGTGAGCAACATGTACATCTCTTGTTTGTATAAAATACAAGTAGATGTTTCAAGTAGAGTATAATGAAAAATGCCTGTCATTCAAGATACCTTCCCTACCTCACCACAGAAAACCAAACAAAGAAAGGAAGAAAGACAGGAACGGGAAACTATAGAAAGAAAAAAGAAAAGTGATGGCGAAAGAAAAAAAGTACGCAGCAAGGATCGGAGACAGGTGCCGCAGCCGCGCGGGAGCGGCTGCGACCGTGCCGGCAGCGCTCATAGTGGGCTTGAATCCTGCAGTCCCGAAAGGGACTTTCGTGTAGCGCCGATCGCGTGGATGTGCATGTCGATCCCACCAGCGCCGCTGCTTTCAATGCATCAACAACAACAATACATACACACAAACGCACACACAATTCCGGGGGGCCCAGTCAGTCGTCGTCAGGTGCAGCGGGGACAATTGTGTGTACGAGTCGGCTGCGCTTGGATCCCTTCCTTCGCATTGTCTTTATCGACACCTCGCATTCCCACGACAGCTTCTGCACCATTCCGGAATGAGGAGGGAGGGACCACCGGAATGGATGTCTCTGCTCCACCTTCCGCCTCCGCAATCGTCGTGTTCCTGTCGACACTTTTGTCCACCTGATGCTGACCAAGTCGTTTCAGCTTACCGCACGGTGGTTTACGGAACTCCTTGATTGACACGGGCCAAGCAGGATCCGTCACTACTAACCAGCGCCTTTTATGACCACGAATTTTCATTGTTGGGGAGACGTAGCAGTACTCAGAAACTGCTGTTGCACAACGCTGGATCTGTGTACGAACTTTTGGACTGTTTCTCAAGCGAGACTGCTATCGGCGTTCAGGCTCCCGAGCTTTTCACATGCTTCTCTAGCAATTCCAAATCGTGAGATGATACAAGTCTATGCGAAAAGTTGGCCGAGCCCATGCGAAAAATGAAGTGGGTTGACTCTGAAAGTGACTTTCAGTATATCTGATGTCTTAGAGTGGTATCGAGAAAGCTGCGTTGCTTCCAATTGATTACTTGATTGAACCAAAAGTGCCAGTGTTTATATATATATATATATATATATGTGTGTGTGTGTGTGTGTGTGTGTGCACATACATACATACATATGTGTGTATTTTTTTATTTTTTTATTTTTTCTGTCAATTTTGACACATATCTGCACTCTTCAGTTGGTTGATGGTGATTGATTCTGTCACTTGGAAATCTGCATTCTTTCTGAAGATTAAGAAATGGTGAACATCCCATCCCTCCAACAGCCTGTAAACTTTTTTGCAAAAACTGAGTGTACATATACTAATGGTCCATCAATTTCGATGGAGAAGAGAACTTAGGAGGGACAGTAGCTTCTTCTAATCAGTCAGATTCATCAGACTCGTGCGCTGCCTCACCCAACCTCTCTTCATCACCCTGTTTGCCTCCACAAAAGTTAAGTACAAAATCGCGGAACGTCTGCACGGCCTCAGAGACCTGGGTACCAGATGCTATCAGTTCCTCCAACTTTTCTCGGAGATTTGTCGCCTCTCTGCTCTTCTCCTCCTCCGCCATCTTTACAGGATTCACGTCATCTTGAATCTGGGCATCCAAAAAAAATGCAATTCAGGGTTAGATAGAATCCTTTACAATTGAACATCTCATGCAACCCAGCATAATCTTTTTTAATGACTGCGTGTTAAATAGGTAATTGAAGTTGTTCATGTTCATTCAGGTATTAGTGTTCAGGGAATGATAATGGTTGCCCTTCAGTACCTGGTCCCACGTCTTCTTCAGCAGATTGAAGATGGTATCGGACGGTGCTTTTATACCGTGCGCATGTGCAACAGTTGCAAAAGCTTTGGGGCTTATGCTATCACCACCTTCGGGCATGAGAACAAGAGTTTCACGAAACATTCGCAGTGCATTTTGTTGTGAGATAGAAGGTTCGGCACAGCTTATGATTTCTCGGAACTCTGTGAACGTCAAAACACCATCTTGATTTGCATCTCCCGCTACGAAAAGATTCTCCAGAGCCGTTCCCTGCCAAAATTTATGTATTTTTAAATACTTGAACGCTGTGAGTGATGTAGCATAATTGACCAAGCGCTTGCCAATGGCACAATACGTGTTCGGTACCAGGTCAGGACTAGAATCATGACCCCCACCACCGCTAAAGTTCTAAATAAGTTTTGTGTGCTTACTAATCTGTTAATTTCTTGTCTACCTTCAGACATTGTGATGTGGCACGTCCTTGTGTAAACGAGGAAAATTGCTTTGGCAGAGATTTATTCTATCAAACCGATTCTATCGGTGAATTTACCATTTTTTAATAAAGAATTTAGCAAAAAGAAGCTCTGCACTAGTCTGCAAGCCCAAAGCTCCGGACTTGAATTTTCTTTCGATGAATTCCTCTACGTAGGAGTATTTGGAATACAAAGATTTAAACGAAAAGCTATTGCTAACCTCTTCTTCCGATTGAGGAGCAACTTTCTCGGGTAACTTCACTCTGACTGTCTTCGTGTCCACCTGCAGTGAATAGTGAATTGTATTTTAAAACTTAAGAAACATCATAGTTTTCTATAAACATGTCGAAAATTAACTGATTTTTTAGATGATCACGACTTCCTTCAGGCCATATTGACATTTGATTTATCCTACCAAAACTAGATTGCAAGAATTAGCAATTTTACTTTGGTAGGGTTGAAATCGATCACGTTCTCCATTAATAGGTCAAAGTCCACTCTTTTCACTTGCGAAGTTTTCAGTATCTTTTGTAGCTGTCACACGTTAATCAATCACGAATTTGTTAATGCAATTTTGGAATCGAAACATCCCTCCTAACCCGTTCACAATTTAGAGGGACGCAATAGCTTCAGATCCAGATAACACATGCGTCTTCTGGAACGTAGAGAATGTTTATAGCTTTTTTATCCAACTTGTGATTTTAAAGCAGGTTTCCGTTTCTTAACCTGTAACAGCCGTGTTTATTAACAGTTTCTTTCTTTCTTTCTTTCATCTTTCTTTTCATTTCTTTACTTTTTTCTTTTCCTTCATTCTAAAATAGCAGTTCACAAAATCTTCTTGGATCACTATCTAACGGTTAGTGTCTCACTTCTAACTTTTCGAAATTGTGGATCCATCTTGTGCTGAATAGAGCTCTCTAGCATGCTGGATGAGATGTTTTCTATTAAAATATCAAAACAGATTGTATGTCAAGAACGTACTTCAGGTGCAACTTTCTCTGTTGTAGCATGAAGTCCTGCGAATTTAGTGATAAATTCTGCAGCTGCATCCCGATCTCCGTTGAAGTGTTCGATAAGACACGGTTCATCGAATAAATTATCAACTTGAGCACAATTTAGGAAAACGATCCCATCGTCCTGTTCTGAATACAGAACTCCTAGTTTGCTTTGTCCTCTGTTCAGCAGCTTCAGATACATGTAAAGGTCGGGCTCAGCGTACCCTTTCGCGAGGTCAAAGCCGCAGAAGCGCTGGAACAACCTCAGCTGCAAACGCCATCAAATCATATGAGTTCAAGGTTCAACTTAAAAGAAAACGATCACAGTTCTACCGTAAATGTCTGAATAATGATTTTCACAGATTCGGAAGTCATCCTTCTGTACAAATGTATTCATTCTCGCATCAGATTGGTCAGTATCATAGGGACACAACTTGTCAAAGAAAAGCTGTCAGAAAAAAAAAAAATTAAAAATTAAAAATTCAACAGCGAACAAAATTTATATTACAAGTAATGGCCTACCTTGTGGCATTTTTCAATGCCCTTGCTAATCATCATTTTCTTAATCTTCTTGAAGACACCATGGACAGCAGACTCAGCCAGGCCTTTAAGACCATAAATATTTAGCATATAGTCGTACACAAATTCACAAGCGCTCTGCCGTTCGTTATTGACTTCATCATCAACAGCATCTGCTTGTATTTTTGAAGCGTAGATCCCTTCCACTAGTTTTAATAACTGAAATTTGCCAACGCCAATCGTGAGATTCTACTAGGCTTGGTGACAAATTGGTTGTATAAAATCAGAGCAGGGTGGGTCTTATGAGAGATTCCACACTAGAAGGATAAGCCATGTCTATTATGCGCAAGCACGTGAAAGAAAGCTCACTAGATCCATGCTTAATCGAACCATATAAGTGGTAAGCGTGGACAGTTCTGTTCAGTGGAAGATGAGAAATCGGTCACGAACCTGCCGTTCGTTGAAGGATTTAATCACTTTAGGAGGCGGGGTGATTTTCATCATCTTTGCGAAGCCTAAAGGCAAAAAGGGGAGGTCTTTGGCTTTCATCCTGAGAAAATAGAATTGACATGTCTTAGTGGACAACAATTCAGATGATCTGACCATAAACTGATACTGAAAGCCAACTGAACAAAACTCTCAAACGATGTAGTTTGAGGGAGACAGAGAAGTATCACACGATTTAATTTCAGAAGATCCACGACCGCGGGCCATTAGCTCCTCGGCAACGTTTATAAACTGGCTGCCTCGTCTGCTATCTCCTCCCTTTCGCATTTTGCCCAATTGACTGCACACAATGGTGAACCATTGATATAACTCGATCAATGCATGAGAGCATAGTATGTTTCACTATGAAATCTACTTTTACTCCATTTCAACCGGATAATTTCAGGGACGTACCCTTTCTTTCCTTTCCCCTTTCCACCATCCAACCCCATCGCTTCTAAGAAACTCGCGTCTTCGCTATCTGGTTCTATTTCATTAAGCCATCCGTCTGCAGTTAATATACCGTCCTTTAATCTACGCAATTTGGAAAGGATTCCTTTGAATCGATTAGCTAGCTTAGGATTCATTCCCACTTGCTCGAGAAGCTGCATTGTCTCGGCTGCCAGATCTTTAATGCTTGCGTCCGACTCATTTAATCCGCCTGGTGCAACATCTCCAACAATTCTTCCTGTCTTCTTCATCTCTTTCTCCCTCTTCAGCCGCTTCTCTCGTTTCAGCTTCCTCCATACTGCAGCGTCTGCAGCTGAGAGGGGCTCAAAAATCTCCATACCATACGTGTTTAAACGAGGAGGTGCAGTTTTGGGCCTGTCCAAGACTTCAAAAAATGGATGTTTCTTCGCAGGATCAATAGTCTGCGCTGGAACATCAGCGTGGATCCCGTCATCGTGCGTGAAACCTTCTGAAACCCTCTTGAATATTCGAAATGTAGGTGATATAGTTATTATATCACCCGGAGAAGCGGCAACTGTTGCTTGCTCTTCAGCCCTTCCTGGTGCGGCGCCCTGCTCGTTACTATCATTGACAATCCCTTCAGTAGAAGCTGCTGCAGATTCCTTTATTCCTACCTCTTCCTTGCCCCCTTCAACGACTACCGGCTCGGATGGGACACTATTTCCCCCCCCTTCGGCTTGCCCCCCTGCAATTTTGAGTGAAAAACAATTTCTTACAAATGCTCCATGCAGAAGAGATGTAGGAGAATTCAATAATCGTAAGAATTTTACATTTTATTCTCGTGAATCTAGTTATCATATATGCAGCCATTAGCTCTCAATGCTGTCTAATGAGGAAATAACGGAATGTTAGCAAAATTTATTCCTGACAATTTTAGGCATTCTACATCATAACAGCATGTTCATCTTAAGAATACACATGGACATCAGTTGATCCAGTTAAGCATTCTCAACCTTCCACAGAAGAAGCAGCCGCTTGGTGCGAGGCTAGACTTTCTTGAAAGATTTCGCCCACGGATTTGGTCTCTTCCTGTGGTATCATCGACCCCCCTGAACTAGCAAAATGTTTCATAGTTGCTCTTCGCACGAACTTCTCTCGTGCACGAGGTGAAAGATTCTCGGCGAGGCAGAGACGACACCGTTGAAGGCGCACAAACTGAAGATTTTTCTGCTTCAGGGCTTCCGAAACCGTTTTAAACTTGAGTGTACAAGCTTTCAGGTCCCCCGTCAGATCTGAAAGCTTGTCCTTGCTCAGAGCCATAATTTCTCTTGATCGAACTAGTTCAGCTGATAACGATGTCAATTTCGGTTCTGTGCTTGCCATCACCTGAAACCAAATTGTTCATTTTCGCCGAATTAGACCTCAATAATAATGAAAATAAAAATAAAAGAAAATGCAACAACTGTTTCAGTCGACAGTCATTGATAATTACACATTGTCAGCCGTGTTTGAACCTTCTAAATTTATTTTCGCTTCTTTAGTTCTATCTACGAGCTAAATTCCGAGATCGAACAAACACAGGGTAGGCAGGACCAGTTAGGACGAGATTAGAAGAGGCAAAGAAGCGTGCAGAACGTTTTTGGATCAAATAGCTTGAACACCTGGTTAAAAATGCGAATCACTTGCCGCCATAAGTGCAGTAGCATGTCACCTCTTTCTTTACATTCCAGACTCACCTGATACACCACTTTCTTAGAATAAGAATGGATCAAGAAATTTAGTGATTTACTAAGCACGTGGATATTTCATGAGATACAGATATTATACAACGTCACAAAGAAGGACCAATAGCTAAGTCTATCACTACAAAGCTCTCTCCGGGCATGTCTAACAATTTGGGAATGCTAGAGGACGAATGTTGCGCAGATATTCATGAGATCTAAAATGTCAAACCATAGTGCTCCACCTCAAATCAGTATATAATATTACAGGTGCATTTATGCATGGCGAGGAATATTTACACTCTGGGAAATCTTCACATTGTACTGATATACAGCTTACAACAACTTCTGTAACCAATCTTCTATTGTACCTGGCGAACGATTTCCAAGAATGAAATAGAATGTAACTGAAAGGAGACTTCAATGTCGGCAATGTGACCGTCAGTGTCGTGACATTTCTTATCAAGCACAGAATGTTGTAGCCACTCCCCCAACAATATTACGTCCTCTCTCTTTCCTGGCTGCGCAAATGGAATAATATTACCCCAGCCAGGGTTATATAGATTAAAATGATTCATCTTCCTCAGCAATGTTTACGAAGCTGCTACGTTAAGCCCTCGATACTATATAAGATCCATGAATTCACTTCACTATGAGAACATGTAAGTGTACGCTCATTAAAACCAAGAGACTGAGAGTTTGGAAAAGAAGGATAAGATGTACCTGAAGTGCAGGAAAGAGGACAATGTGCCATCGTTTCTCATGAGGACTGAAGGCGGACTTATATTCCTTCTCGTGGCCGACTGGCTAACATCTCTTCCCACCACCACCATATCCCCGCATATCAGTCCTCTTTGGTCCCTCCAGAGTTGGAAACCTGACAACTTAATTATGTTGATGCAGAGCGTACGTAAACATCGATGCTGGGGAACAATTCTCCACATTGCCACGGATGGAGTGCTTTGCCTCTTACATGCAGTGATTACATCTTTTGCTGTCCACGGTTCAAAGAAACTAGGTACATGACATGCAAGCCATGATTCTATGGAGTGATCGCCCAAGCAGTACGCCATGTAAAATCGTTTGAAGGTCAGAATTGATACCTGTACAATAGACTGATAAATGACGTAATCTTCAATTGGTATGAACGAGGGAAGAGCATGCATTAGAGACTGGGGCTCAAGCAACGGACTCGCGGAAAGCTCACTGTCACGCGTCAATTTTTTGGTTCTCGCTTGACCACAAAGAGAGCACAGGCTGGTGCCCTTGGTGAAGACAGGTAATAGGTTTCCTTCCTGGTTACGCTCGAAGCCCTGCATCACTATTCAACACCGACGCAATTATCACAAAACTAGTCTGCGTTCAGCCGTCAGCATTCAACTCACAGCATAATGTTCACTATCTGCGTCAGCAGCATCACTATGGAACATGCTCAAAAAGAGTTACACATCAATTTGAAGAATCGAGATCAATCAGAAAGTGTTGGGGTGGCTTACCTCGAAAAGAGCAGGAGTTTTCTCCCTAAATTCGTCATCAGCTTCAGGAGGCTCTACGTCTTGCCGTTTCTTTCCTTGAACTTCGATGTAGCGCGTGATCAAGTTCTTCACCTTATCCAGAAGAGTTTGATCCTTTCGGAGCATTTTAACATCCGGGGGCATTTCTGATTTCCTGCCATCAAGCTCTTTCAATTGGTTTCGCACTCCCGCTGTGTCATAAGGTATCATTTCAGTCACATCTTCCATCTGCACAATCCCCACTGAACTCTCACACGTTGCTTGGTCACTGAACATGGCTGAAAAATTCATACTGTCCAACAATTCCACCAATTTCAACCCTAACGAGTGTTTGTAGTGGTGATAATCGTCAAATAGCTACTGGATTCCAGACGTACCTGATCGAAAAGCTCTTGAAGCTCGTAGTCTTGGAGGCGCAGAGACTGCAACAGCCAATGTTTGGGATCCAAGGGAACCTCGACAACGCTCCCCTGATGAGCCCTCCTGTCCTCGACTGCGGTGCCTCGCCGTTTCCTTTCTTCTGTCGCTGTCGTACTAACCAACGGTTTTGTGAACGAGGACCTGCTCACGGACCCCTCCCGAACTTGCCTTTTGAAGGTGAGTCGATTTGTCATATTTGTTGACCTATTGAACGACACTGCCGCTTCACCCATGCCTTCGTCAACTACAAGAGTGCTGCGTTTCTTATGTCCAAGTTGAGGACGTCCCATGTGCAATGGTTCCTCTGTTGTGATGGATAGCCGTGGAAACCCTCGGAGATTTTTCAAGTACTCTGATGATCGCATTTGGAGATCTATCCAGTCCAGTTTCTGTGACACCAATAAATTGTCGCCGTGGCCTCGTTGCAATTCTTGCTGTGACGATGACCTCTTCGCAGGTTGCTCTGCATTACAAAATCCCATTAGATGCATTGGAACAGCCGAGTTTCACGGTGGCGTAGTTTCGAACATGCTTGTTATACCAATCACCCTGGGAGAAATTCATATCATGACTACATGTGAGGAGAAATCTGCAAGCCTCAGAAAACATCATGGAAGTGATTGATCAAACGTACGCCGAAATCGACTCTCGCGTCTGCCTTTCTTTCCAATTTCAGGAACAAGTTTATACGCTCTCCCTGCCATGAGGTTCGCACTACCAGAGATCGCCGAAGACCTGCGCCTTTGAGGAAAAAGTTGTGCCGCTGTTGGAAGGTTGACTGCGAGAGAGTTGTTGATGATGTTGGTCAACGATCGATCTTGAATTTTTGACCGGAACTCGACGGGACTGGCGACTTGGTCAGAGAATCTGGTGTTTAGAGCCAGTTTTGGTATCGTTAAGGGAGATATTCCCCCGTTTGCATTATTTTGCTTCTGGTTCAGCATCTCGATCTCCATTTTCTAATCGAATTTTCAACGAGGAGTTTCGGTGCTCACTCATGGACCTTCCGGAAGATAGCAATGTGATCAGAGATTTTACTGGAGGTGGCTACTTGACCCCCTCATCAACTGCTGTCTGCCATTGCTATCTGCCATCGCAGCCAGCAACCACGAGACGGACCTTACCGCACATTAATTAGAAGAGAAATCTACGGAATAATGCACTTCCACATTCCATGAAAGCGAATGTCAAATCCCTACATTTGCAACCTCCATAGATCTGCAAGTAACAGAGACAATGCAGTTAAAGATAGGACTTGCACTTGAGAATAGCACCATAAACGCCAATGCAGCAAGCGATTGTAAAAGATCGACATAAAGTTGCATGCTCTGCTATATGAATCAATTATTGCGTTCACCTGACTTAGGAAATCTACTTTAGTTTTTGAGCTCTGGACGTCTAAACCGTATTTGTGGAGATGGTAGTTCAATCCGCACTAAGGTTACATGACGTAGAGAAAATCGAAGCTTGCATTGTAACAGCAGCACGTGTAGGTTTGCCTTCTCACGCAACTCGCCGCTCGTCAAACACCCGAGTTTGATATCTACGTTGCCCGGCTGTACTTGTGTAAATTGAGGACAAGGACCAAAAAGATTGAGACAAAAGATTACATATCTGCGAGTTCAGCGAATGTGTGACGGACTACAAAATTGCAGCATTAAAATCCCCGATTGTATGGCAGTTACGTTCGATGTTAGACAGCTCAATTACACGCAAACCTAATTCTCAGTACCTGAGTTCACATTCCTGCAAAGTTTGTTCCTTAATCTTGCCTCAGAAATGGCATTTTGGTGGAATCATAGACAGATTGTGAGTCTAGAAATGTGTCTAGGTGAGGAATTGAGGTCCAGGGGTTCCCTAACAATGGTATTGTTCTCACCAATGCTTTTTGAGCAGTAGGAAGTAAACTATGATTGTTACTGGGGTTCATTAGACTGTAATATATAAAACAGACAAAAAACAAAAAGAACAAAAAATCTCAAAGAGAAAAAGTGGGTTCACGAAAACAGTTAGTGAAGCAGCCAGAAGTCAAACTTCACCTCCCTCAGTTAACATTTTCAATGTTATCTACAACGGTAATGAGAAATACCTCTAGAATCAGCACACACCTCTGGAACCTTCACTAATATTGCAACTTCCAGGAGATATTTGGAAGCATATTTGTGGTTACAGAGAGCGTACTCCGCTCGTTAAACTATGTACACATTTCCTCTGTCGCAGCAAAGCCGCACTTGCATTTGTAATGTTAAGCGAAATTGCTAGAGTCGCTGTAAATGGGCCTCCCACGATGAATTCGTGATCCAGAAGCTCCAAATTCCTGGGGACACGTAAAATATGGGTCCACTTTCCCATTGAAATTGAAATGTTTGCCACACGCAACGTCCGAAAACAGTGTTCAGGTGAATTGAGCAAAGCTGATGACCATGTGGTTGAAGAGTTCATGAGGAACTTACTTCGTTTCGTGAAGAAATTCGAACGAATTGCCATTACAATCGTAGGATATCATTAAGGCCCTTGCTGTTGAGATCGATGCCAATTCATCGATAATCTCTCCCAAGAACTTTTTCAGAAGCATGCGTTCGATATCAAGGCCTACTTCAGCGACTTCTTGGCTGAAAACCAGCCACCGGCCTTCAGGAACATTCATGTCATAGTCTATCAGATCATCCAGCACATTTCCAGCGATGTCTCTCCAGTGACAGATCATTCTATGAACTCCTTTCACAAGAGGCTCTCCCACGATTGGCGATCTGAACTTCGAGTTTGAAGTCATCTCAGGAAACATGGGCAGATCTACATAGAAGGAAGAGGTTTTCATCCATGGCTCAAGATCAATAACCTCGTGTATGCAATCAAAGAGAAGCTTTCGATCTGGATTCATTCTTGAACTCTGACTAGGTGCATCTAAAAGAGTACACCATCGCTCAGACTCGAAGGAGAACTCGTCCAGTACAATATTTCCAGATTCAAGTCCGTCGCACAAGGGAAGTTTCATTGGAGAATTGGATGGGCAGCGTCCAGATTCTAAACCTCTTAGTGGGTTGATCGCATCCAAGACGTCTCTGATGTAGGATAGTTCCTGATGTGGCTCTATTGGAGCAGTAATTGGTGGTTCAATACTTGACAAATTAAGATTTGGAAACCTTAAAATGCTCAGATTCCCTTGCTTGATCTGGTCTACCTCTATCGTGTCTTGTGTGGCCATCTCAGAAGCTTTTGAAATGATTACATTATCTTTGATAGGATGTGTTTGTTCTTCGTCCTCTTCTGACGGAGAAAAGGACATGTCACCAATACCAGTGAGATTCTTCTTAGTCTGCTGCGACCCTGCATGTCAAGGAAGCATCGAACCGCAGAGAATGATGAAAATCAGCTTCACAATATTCTTGTATTTCTAATCAGACCTTATTGTTTAAGCTATATATTTCAGATGCGAGCAAGTCCCTACAATCGAGGATGTTTGGACAAATTATTCCAATTCGAAATTGCTACCGAAGTAAGAGCATTTGCCACAAAATCCTCACTTACAAAAAAAAGTACATAATCACACAGAGAAATCTGCGACTTACCAGTAAAACTTGTAGCAGGCGTCATGGCAACCTCGTCAAGAAATGGAGACACAAGGACAGATACGGGACTGGGTTGCTCGCATTCTTCAGCAGATAAAGTGTGCCCCTCATCTGAGTCACAGAAGCCCAATGCTAGCTTTTCTTCAAACTTTTTCAAAGCTGGTGGCGTCGCCACATCCTCACTCCATCCAGCAGCTACTGGCATTATTTGAATCTGCACATTGGACATGGGCTCGTACTCAGCTAAATCATTCAAATGTGGGATCGTTGATTTGCTGAATCTGTGAAAGTCATCCGTATTGACACACTTCCCAGGCACAGGCGACATGTATTCCAGAAGATAAGCATATAGCCATGTAATGAACTCTTTTTCATCAAAGAAGTCTTGGGTCAGTGAGCTCACCTCAAGTCGCTCAGGTGTCCCGCCAGTATCACAACTGGCGCTGTTACTGCACGCATCCACATCGGCTCCTGCTTCATCGTCATCTAAAACAATCTCTCGATCTTCTAACGAACGGAAGCTCCGTAGTGGACCACATAAATCATTTGATTGATCTCCGTGAGCAACCACGAACATATCCTGCAGCATGAGAAGATTCCGAGAAAGGAAGTACTTCTCTTCGTACTTCACTAAGGCACTGTTTGGAACCGTTGCAGTAACTGATCTGCATTTGGTGGGTAAGACGTGGGGACTCGTTTTAGAGGTTGCATTCTCCAGGAGAGATGATTCAGAGCTTGTTGGGGACACAGGCACATACTTCCCAGAAATTCCTTTTCCAAACATTCGTTCAATGGATCTGCAGTCTTGGGTCGCTGTTTCACCATGTAACCCGATTCCTAGGAATTTGTCCTCTACTGCTTGAATGGTCTTCCGAAGATCTGGTGACGCCCAACCTACGCCATTCTCCTCTAACGGAAGCTCAGGGAATACGTCATCAATGGACTTGTACCTTGTCTTCTCAAATTGCTTGCGGATCGGTGACAATGGCTCTTTTATAGAAATTTCTACCAAGGACGAACCTTGCTTGGCTACACCTTTCATGACTTCCAGTTTTCCCAAACCCACTTTTGAAGTAACCTTTTTGCCAGATTTCGACATCGTCTTAACGTTCTGAGAACCAAGCTGGGTAGTTGGCATAGAGGATGGACCAGGCGTACTCCTTGGTCTTTTTAAAAGAGACAACATCGAAGTGCTGTCAGTGTGGTTCATTTTTGGAACCCCACTTTTATCAAAACATTCCTTTTTATTAGCTTGCTTTTTGTTACTGAAAAGAACACCATAGCTGGATCTGACTCCAGTAACATTTTCCTCCTTCGCAAGTGATAATCCAACTGAATGTTCCACTGGTTGCTTATCAGAGGGAAGTACTCGATTCCCTTGGCTTCCATGATTTTTATCATGCTTCGCACCCTTATTCCGGAAATGAATAGACCGAAATCCGCCACCAGTAACAGACTTTTCATACAGGGTCTTGGACATTATTATGGACCCTTGACTAAAATCAGCGTTTTGATCATAATTACAACGTAGCGGAGGCTCCTCTTCAGTAGTTGCATCTACATGAATGGGTGTAGTAGGAGCAAGCCTCCAAGGAAGAGCTCCAAAATCTTCAGCCTGCGAATCGTTTCTTTGATTCTCCAGGTTCTTCTCACGAGGAGAAGAAACTGAAATTCCAAGGTCGGTTTTAAATCCACGGATTGAAGCTTCGTGAGTTCCTAGCACGGCTCGGGGAGACGGAGAACCTGCTTCCGCTTTTTTCAGGACCGGGATCCTCGTTCCATGGGTTTTCAGAGAAGAACTGGACCTTGGTGAAGCCATCTCACATGCCCTTCGGCTGGCTTGATCTTGTCTGCCTGGATCGTACCGAGTTCTGAAACTCTGACTCCCAGAAGAATACGACTCATAGCCACTGTGCTTGGGTCTATCATCCCTCTCACTCCAAGTCCTTGAAATGGACGGAGTTCTGAAAGACCTGCTGGAGGAATTCGCTGAACTCTCCCTTCGGCTTTTGCTGGAACAAATGCTCCTCGTCTCGGATCGGAAGCTCCCACCAATGGCACTTTGGGTGTCTCTGTGTGCTTCTCTTGACATAGTGTTCTTGCTCCCTGGGGAAGGCTGCTTACTCGGCTCCCGGTCTTTCACCGTTGACTTCAATAATTTCACTGTGTATCCACTGAGCATTGATGGCGACAGAAGAGAAGAACTGGGGCTGCTCACGGGCTTCGAGTGATGAAGGTTAGGAGCACTATGTTGCAGTCGAGCTAGAAAGGGCTGCTTCATCGAGGGCTCAAAGGCATCCCTTGTGGAAGAAGTTCTATTCTCGAAAGGTCGTTCTGATCTCGTAGCTTTTGACTTCTTGGAAATGCTCATGAGCTTTAATGGTTTTTTAGAGCATTGGTGGAACTTTTGACCGAGAAGCTCATGCAGCAAAATAGGTGGGAAATCCACATGCTCACGAGCTGTATCTCCCGTCATGTTACAACAAAACTCTAGTGCGTCAGGTCTCGAGGGCGGGTATGTCTTGTCTGGTAGAGATTCCAGACCCATGAGTCGTGCGACCACTCCAGGAACACGTTCACTCGTGCCGTCCGAGTTAGCAGACCCTGGATTTGGCGTCGAGTTGAAAGCTAGGGTGTTCGTCGGGGTAGCAAAAACTTCATCTCTCTCAGTGCTTCTCTGCAAACGCAAAAGAAAAAATAGCATCGAACGTGGGTATGTCAACATAAGCTAATATCTTTCCATGCCATGTGAAATGTTTTCCTCGCGCAAAATTCCAACATCCAGCGACAACGGTATCCCTGAAATTTTAGCCATACTTTATGAAGCATGAGTTATACCTCATTCAAAACTTTCTGAAGAATAATAACTCAGATGATCAATTTTATCTATGACGAGGAAAATCACCTACCGTTGAAAGCTTTAAAGTGGGGACAATTGTGCACTCCGTGACGAACTTCTCCCTTTTAGCATATAGTGCTTCTTTCTTTGGCCTGTCTGTAACCAACATTGATTTCATAATTAAGAAAATCATGACACAACATACGTGCTACACAAGCGCAAAAGCGTCATTGTGAATTTTCGGCAATGGTCAACAACTCATTATTTAACTTTATCGCAAGAAAGATGTAAAATCGAAGTCAGTGGAAGCAGACTCAGAAAGCATACACACTGAAACAAATATGTAAAATACTCAAAAACAAAGGACAAAAACACGAATAAGCAAACAAACAAAATAAAACAAAACACAGCCAATGAGAATCATCAACCACATTTGAACTACATGTCTTAATATTTGATTCATTATCATAGATTACTGTTGTCATTTATAACGGACTTGCAAGATCATGATATGTAGATCAAAAGCTAGCGCGACACAGAAGACCTCAGAATTCTCCTACACACAATTTTGGGCCATTCCGATTCAGTCAAGAAACTTGGGCGGGGAACAGTGTGACCAAATGGATCAGGAATGAAATGGCTTCATACCTGCAGTAATTCGCCTAGAGGAAGAGAGACGTTTGCTGTGTTTCCAGTCGATCATATGAAAAAATGTGCTCACACACCCTCCCACACGTGGAGACTGCAAGCCAATGTGGTGAAAAGTGGGTGGCGTTCGCCGGTGAGTCTCTGTGAGATCGTCCATCACCTTAGTGTAATAAAGTGCAGCTACGCTTTCCCAGCTGAATGCCAAGTCAAGCGATAAAATACGAAGACCTTACGTTCACTGCTGATCCTTCAGACACGAGCGGAAAGTAATACTCAAGGCCGCACTCTCAAGGCTGTCGCCGATTCAGTTTTAAAAGAGAACGTTGGACTCTGTATTGCCGTCTCTAGTTATGAAATTTAGAAGAACCCATGAGTCTTGGTATGGAACTTTCTCAAATTGAGTGGTAGACAAGAATAAGACGACGAAAGAGCTGGTTGATAGTCCTCTTGAACAAGGTCGAGGTGCAAAGTATTCCTGAAGAGTACTAGGAATGTGGAGGTCGCATACGTAGAACCATGGCTGCGTAGTCAGAAGAAATTGATTATTGCGGTGTAACACGGGCATTTCAAGGGATGAGGGAAGTCTGAATTTGAACAGTTCTAATGTTGTGTCAAATATTAAAGTAGGATGTAGTACTGTAATCAAGGGCAAAATTGTAGCCTCATACCAGTCAGCGAAACAGCCTCATACAATACTCGGTTATTCGGAGCATTGTAGAGTCTCGGAATTCCAGAATTAAACTTTACTAGCACACGTCACCTCGCTTGTGATCATTCGGTGATATGTTACCCTTTGAGAGAATATATGGCAGTCTACGAGAGATTCCAGTGCATTGAGAGCACTGCGTCATTTACAGAAAAGACTGGAAGGAGAGGTGACGCAGAAGTGAAGCGATCGCTTCGTTGCCAGGAAATCAGAAACGATACGATTCTCTAAAACCTGAATGTGGATGCCGAACAAGCAAGTAACCATACGAGTGACCTCAGAGATGTTCAATCCCGCCATGACTATCGATCCTCCGCGAACTATCAACCTAGAAGTGCATCAATAACTATCTCAGTGCGTTTTCGCTGCCACTGGCGCCTTTGCACTATCACAAACTGTCCCCAATCTATCACACTGATGATGATCCCATCGTGTTACTACCAATGCGAGAGGGCTGACTAGCGCAGAAAGTAGGAGAAAATATAACTAAGGGCAGATCGTCAGATTGATCATGAATGCGCTTCAAGTTTTATCACCTTGCAACACTGTGGAATTGCGCGAGAACCGGAAGAGAAGACCGTCATTTCAGTGAGCATACGAATCGCCAACCCAGCTGAAGACTGTAGGTACAGAAGAAAGTAAGCCAAAAAAATAAACAGTGTGTGCTGCGAATTCAAAAAGAAAAATGTACTATTAAAATCAAAATTAATGTTCGATACTGTGAAACTGTAGGAAACTAAACAATCACAGTGTTCGAGGAAACAACCAAACTCCAAGCGATTCAAACTTGGCTGATGGCGAAGATTACCCGCTCGAAAACAACTGTCCTCAACCTTCTGTAAACAAAGACGATAGTTCCGCCGCCTCACATGTCTAAAGGGAAAAATAACGCAAGGACAAGTCACGCACCCCGACGAGAGACATGCAGCTAATGCTCAGTGCGAGATGACAAACGGTTTCGGATATCCTCCAGCCATGTATATGTGCACAGGAGATTGTACCTCACAACCTATTTCTCAAATCCAAACCACATAAGTCTCCCTCTCTCCCTTTCTCCTCGACGAACAAACTATTCATCTATCTCAAACGTCACGACAACGCTCCGCAAAAACCACCTCAAGTTATAAGCTGATGACAGAACACAACAAACTGAGCCTTCGTTGGCACGCCGAGAAGGCACAGAAAGGAATGGTTAATCTCCAGCAGGCCAGCCAAGCCATTGTGGCCTGGAGGCGGTGGGGCGTTTATACGCAGCAATCAGAAATTGAAATTTGGCTTCGACGTCTGCGGCAAGACATTGATTAACATTAACGTAAGCTGCTTCTTCTTCTTCATGACGCTTTTGTCTGATCGTAGAAGTGCAGTCCACAACTTCAAACCCCACAGTTAAGACGCGCTATATGATGGCGGGGTCCGGAGGGTTTGAACCTCACGGCGTCACAATCACGGGTGGACGTGCAGCCTCGGAATAGTCGGCGAAACCTGGCCCGTCCTTGGGACTGAGCCCTCTTCTCCCGACTAGCGCAAATCGTGGGGGGGGGGGGATTTCCGGACAGCCGGAGATCCTTCGTTCCCCACAGCAAGCACTCACGTACCCCCGTTCCCAGCCGCCCGCGAACCCAGACAGACGAACGTTGTCGTTAGCCCAGGCGCGACTCCCGAGGCCCTAGGGGCAGGGAGGGAGGAATTCATATTCTAGTTGTTGGCAGAATTAGTGCATTGTAAGTGGTTAATTCGTGCGTGGTGATCATTTTTTTTCCCCCCTCATTGAAAGTGTCCAGTGGAAGAATGAAACTCTACGCCGCTCTATCTAATAACGCACATGGTAGATTGTGAGCTCCCTACCCCTACCCCTCATACCCCTCCAGCCAATAACTGTCTGTCCCAAACTGCCACAAGATTAGATTCTGCCGCAAGGCTACACTACGAAACCCCGTACGCGGCAGCAGCAGGAGGAGCAGGAGCACCACCACCAGCAACAGCAAATCGTAAGGCACGCTTGCTTTTTGGCTACGTAGTGTTGTGCTTCCTTCCACTTGACTGACCCCGAAAGGCTAGTTCTCGCGAAAAGTTGCATGTACGCTTGCCGCCGTGCAAGCCTGAACCGTGTTTTTTGTTGCTTCATGTGACCATCTGTGCCAGAGAAAAAGGAGATCTGCTCCCTGCTGCGATAGTGTCGTTCTCTCTCTCCCTCTCCCCTCATTTCCCCACCGTAGCCGGGTTGCAGGGTTTGTATCAATAGGACAATTAACCGCGGTCCCAGTCTCCAGAGCATTTTGTCTGGAGGCAGCAGAGCGGTGACAACAAATCTGGCCCCTGCGGCATATTTATGAAGGCCGTCTCTCGAGTTCGATTCCCGAGGGGTGTTGCTTTTTTGCGGTTTATCTCTCAACTGCATTCGGCGCTGAGCTTGAGGGGAAGAACATGAGTCCAGCAAACCAACTCCCACGCTCACCATGAATGAGAAAGAGGAGAATGAGCGGCACTTGCCCTCCCTTTCCCGCCTCGTTCTCTCCGCCTACTGAAAACTGGCACACACCGCCTCCTCCCTGGGTTTTAAAACATTTAATAATAAGAATAGTAATAATATTTAATTATACATTTTACTCTTCTTTTTTTTTTTCACACTGCAGGATGCTATTGTTTCGCTTTGCTTTGCTTTGTTTGAATTCAAAGTAGGTGTAAATATATAATACCATAGCGTAATCTTTTAATAGACTTTTGTTTTTAAACAGGTGTTTTAATGATAATTTAATCAAGTCTATGTGATGTTTAAAGACTGGATTAAAGTGTTGATACGCTTAGTGCATGTTTCACATCACAATAAATATCATGATCTATTTGGTGTGCAGGTCACTGTCTGATTAAATGAGATTTTTAAAGGTTCCAATCAAAACAAAAACAGGTATAACATCCACAAAGTGTAGCACGTTTTATAATTTTGATATGTTGATATTAAAACATATGGTGTCTAATATTTGACCAAATGAAACATTAGGTAGATCATTAGTGTATTTTATCCAGAAATGAAGGCCAATTTTTTTATTGTTATTTTTTAAAGAAGACAATGAAGAAAATAAAATATGTATTGAGAAGTATTGCACATGCTACAAATGCTCTAAAGGTAATTTTAATACCCGAGAAACTTATCAGAGAAAGTCGAATCTAAAATATACCTTAAAATACTGATTTTGATATTGAAGTCAATGTTTTAAAAATTAAGAAATGTAACTATGACGTCTAATATCGTTTAATAATATTTTGAATGAAATACTCATGTCTGTATTTCAGTACTATATAAAGTATGTAATCTTTTGGTCTACACAATACAAGGGTTCTTATTCTAGAATAAAATTCAGCATCAACAAAATTTTGATATTATTCATTTACAATATAATCAGAATATATTAAATAATTTTAATTTGAAATAAACTCTTTTTGCTAACAATTATGTGTGTCTGTCCAACTACACCAAGTCAAGATGGATTTACATGTGATAAACAGTTTTCTAGCACAAACAAAGCCAAACAATTTTTTGATATATAAAGCAAAATCTGAATTTGTTGCAAAGAACAATTGTTCTGTCATCTACTGTTGATACTTTCAACTAAACAAAGCATGCATAAGTTTAAAAAATACACAGAATCCCCAACATATCACAAACGATGGATGCACAACAATCGTTCAATAATTTGTTTGATCATAATTGTTTTTATAAAAATATTGTTTTCTTTATTTTTGACTTTCGCTGTTGTTGTTGAAGATTGGAATTGTCTAGCCCAATTTAAAATAGAAGAAAAAAAAAATACCTCATAAATCTTGAAAACTCTTTTTCAAATAATAGCCAAACGACATATTTTTTGCCAGACATGGGATTACTTTTTCTAGTTTTTTTTTATTATTATTTTAATGATATAGAATACAATCATGATAATAGAAATAAAAATAAATAAACACCATCAATACACTAAATAAAAATATGTTTTTTATTACAAAACGTAATTGATGAATTTCATTTCGTACTTAGAATGCAGCTAAAAGGAAATTCATAAACAAAGTAAAGAACACAAAATCAATTCTTCTAAACCTTATGATTCCAGAAGGCTGTGCTGACGTGGATATATAACTGGGCGAGGAAAATCTACAGATCAATCACGGGATCGAACCCCGGCAGATGCAGCCTTGCAGGGCCGCGTTCACACGACGGCCCTAACGTCAATCAGTAGGAGACCACCTGGTGCTTGGGCTAATCAGTTTGTGTCTGATGGCTCTGTTTTTTTCCCTTCTTTTTTAATTATTTTTTTGTATCTGTTTTGGCTTTACATGCAGAAGATCTTCTTACTGCATGCACCCCTTTACACCTTCAAAGTAACTCCTGATGTTGTTGATATTGTTTCTGTTGGTGAGTGCCTCTCCTTTTCATCCTTTCAGTTCCCACTACACAATTTTCTATGAATATGTATATTGTATACATTAAGTAAACCAAGTTAAAAACCAGTGTATAACATGACCTGTCCAAATGGGTCTTTTCATTCTGTTGTAACATTTGTTCTGGAATTCACTGTGACTTTCAGACATTCACATGGGAAAAATTAAGGCTTTATTATTAATTTTCTATGTTTCATTCCTCTTCTTTTGCATTTGTCCAAGTTTCTTACTCAACTATCCACAAAAACTGATATTTTGCACGTTAAAAAACTGTACTCCTTAACAGTGTTACCCAAGTTTTTATTTACAATTTTCTGTAATTTCAATAAGTAAATAATTATTTAATCAAGAAAACAGACGTTATGGCCTAGTACTACATTGAAAGTTGAAAGTTACATGATGTAGATTTTAAAGAGCTATAAGTACTACTTGCAGCTCTACCTACAAATCATGCTATAGTCATAGTCTCATGTAAATATTTTTTGTTTCTAAGAATATAAATAAATTATATTACCACACCTGTAATAATCACAACTGCATCATTTGAACATCTTATTCTGTGTAGAAGAACGACAATATAATTTCTGTGATATGTTAATTAAATGCTTAAGAAGCAAAAAGCAAAACATCAGAATGAAAATCAGAATTAACAATTCGGGTTGACTCCACAACTTGCAATGGAAATAGCAATTTCAGCCTTAATGGGTCAGGGATTTCTTATGTCGGCTTCATTAATTGGATTCATTTAGTTTCTGACCAATTAAACATTGTACATGTTATTTATATTAATATTATTATCATTATCTTTATTACTTGTTAATCAAAAAAATAAAAACATTATGATGTTAATGGAAACCATTCTTGGTGTTCTTTCATAATACAAAGTTTTCATTATACTTTTTTCTGATATTAAAAACATTATTATTCTTCATTGTCTGCAAGTGATTTATTACAGATCCTCAGCAACCTCTTCCTAAATCTTTTGCAGATAATAAAATATATTAAATGATTGATTATCGTGTCCTTTTGTTGTAATAACGAATACATAGAAATTGAAGTTACAGTTTTTGACTTTTTTGTTCTTATCAATTCAATTACATATATATTTTGTTTCCTTTAAAAAATGCTACGATACTTCAATGAAATAAATGTAAAACAGTTTATTTTTGTTCACTCTACATTTCAGGAATTAAGTATGTTAACAATTATAATGAAAATTGCACAGACGTCAGTATATTCTTAGTTTTATCATTGTAGAACCATCAATATATATATATATATATATATATATGTATTATTTCTTAGTAAGATATTAAATGCTAAATGTTATCTTTTTAAAAATATCACTTTTGTAGTCAAGTTGTGATAGCTATAATGCCCAGTGTGACAACAATCTCATCTTTTTCACAACAACAAATTCTTACACAAACATAAACCCTAAACCCCAAACCTTGTTATGAAATACGCTTGAAATGTTGTTCATTAAGCATGGAATCTTAGAAATGCAGTTTCACAGTTATAAACAACTAATTCAAGGCAAATTGCTGAGGTGGGCAACATTAGAAGCCAAGGATTAGCATGTATAGGGGATCCATTTTAACTAGCTTCAATGATTCTACTTTCTCGAGAAAATAATGCAAATTATGTAACTTGAGATTCACTTTAAAATTAAAAAATAAATTAAAAATAAATTAAAAATAAATGAATGTGTTGTCATGCCAGTTCTAAACAGGGGAGGTTGTTCAATTGTCCTTTGTCTGTTGTTGGGTACTAATACGGAACAAATTCTGAAAGCTATTTTTGGATCTCATTCATCCATGTGTACCACCCCATTTTTTCAGAGAAAAGTGGATGTACACAAGTTGGTCCTCATGATTCATCAAATAAGATGCTTGTGGTAAACCTTGTATCTAATGTTATTTTGAGCTATATATGTCCGCACATTTGTTTTGATGCAATAGCAATTAGAATCTCTACAAGCATCATCTATTACAATTGACCTTTAAATACAAATACCGTATATATATATATATATATATATATAGATATATATTAAGAGCAGCAATTCAAAGATGAAAAACTAATGATTAGTAGATTATATTATTATTCAAAAATAAAAAAAATAAAAAAATGTGTATATTTTTTCTTCTTCTTTTTCTTTTCCTTATATTTTTATGATTAATAAAAATAAGTAATTTAATTTGAAGGACTAATTTTAATGACGTCTACATGGACAAAGGTATATTTTCATTCTTATTTTGTTATGCTACAAACAAGTTATTTTCCTTTAAGAATTACATACTCTTGGAGGATTCAACGACTTCATTAGTACTAATAGTTGTGTGTGTTGGTGTTCTGCAACTTTTCACTCACTTCTCTAATTGAAATGGTCATAAGCAGTATACTTTTATAAAACCACAAACTGTCTAATCATGCACTTTTTCAGTAAAGTACCAGTTGTCCTCTAAGATCTACCTTACCCATCTGCTATTTAAACAATAATTTTAGTAGTTTGTTTAATAAAACCTAGTAAGGTATAATCTAAGGTTAACAATTGAATGCACAAAAAACAAGATAAATTTATTAATTGGTAAAGTAAGAAATGAATTCAATTTATTGAAGAATCGAAAAGTCAGATTCTTTTCTTTAGAAGACAATCGTATACAAACACATTTGAATTACCAGGTTTAAGTTTTAGAATCTATCTTTGCATATGGATAACGATTATTTTTATGATTTTGCCAATGATTGATGCAGAGGATCAGTTCTATTTTTCTCCGTCGATCATCAAAATAGATTCATGAAAAATCAATAAATATTTTATGTATATACTAATAAAAAAAATGAAAGTAAAAAATGTTTACACGCATGTGCAAGATCCAGAAATGGAGAAAAGAGGTAGAAATGATGGTGAGGTTAGGTTAGGCATCGTCATTTGAAGATACTCAGGAATCCTGTTGCACACAAAGAACAAAATTTTGAATGTTCTACGAGAATATAGTGAAAAAACATGAAGTTATTAATAAAAACATCACCCAAAACTAAAAAAACACGTAACTCCACAGAGAAGAAAGAAAGAAAGAAAGAAAGAAAGAAAGAAGAACTCAAACTCTGAAAATTAATTGAAGTTCACAGGAAGCATTTTATTTTTTATTTTTTTAACGCCAGCATCAAACATGCATCCACTCATTCATTCTACATATCTATCTATCTATCTATCTATCTATCTATATCTGTAAAGAAGTAGAGATATATCTAAAGATAATGGGAGATCCACGATTCCACCAGGAACCGGTGTCCGTGAAGAGGGGGATGCAGGATTCCATCCAGAACGGGCGTCCATTCCGCATGAATACAAAAACTGAAATTAGGGTTTTTGCTGCGAGATCCTCGCATCGTGAATGGCGACGACGATGGTTCATGGTGAGTGGGAAACATCTTCGGTCGGTGCGAATTGGCCTCTCGGTGGAATTGGAGCCCTTGTGTGGGCATAGAAGAGCCGAATCGTAGGTCTCCGCCCTGAGTTTCTCCCTGAGAAGAGTGGGTTACAGGACCCCTTGCTGCGTGTGTTGTAGGGATTAGGGTTTGCTTGGGCCATGACGATGGTGTGTCTGGGTGGTTCGATTGGATTCCGCTGTGCTGAACTCTCCATCGGTCGGATTCCGCAACTGAGATCCTATGATCCATCGCAAGGCCGAGGGTGGAGATTCGGGCGCATTCGTGCAGAGTCAGGTGCGTATCGCTGGAATTGAATTTGCCCGAACTGTTGCACGTTGTTGTTGTTGAAATTAGCTTGCTCGAGGCTGTTTGTTTGTTTCTGACGGCAAGCTTGGTTGATTTTCTTTGTTTTTCTCAGCTGATGCAGGGATTATGGCAAATAGCTCCACGGATCCCGTGTTGGTCGTAGTGGGCGGAGGAGCAGCAGGGATTTTTGGAGCAATTCGAGCCAAAACCGTTTGCCCAAGGTTGAAAGTGGTAGTAGTGGAGAAGGGCAAGCTTTTGTCCAAGGTTTGGGATCGCCTCCTCTATGTTCATACTCCAAATCCGTCATGTGTCGGGATGGCCAGATGTGTGGTGAATGGATCTGATCTGTAGTTGGTTAATCACAAACCAATCATAATCTGCTGAAGCGTTTAGATTCGAGTGGCAAGTAATTAACATCACCAATCAATGGAATTGATGTTTGATGTTTATCCTATGACCAGGTTCGAATATCAGGAGGCGGACGCTGCAATGTCACCACTGGTCTCTATGTGGATCCTTTGGTAATTTCGACATCTCTGCACGCCTGATATTCTTTAGCGAGAGGCGCACTATGAGGGAAGCGTTCGTAGAAATTCAGGAATTCTTCTCCCTTACCTTTTAGACCCGCAGTGTATCCCTCACTGCCAGGTTTTGATACACTTATGACAGCCGTTGGCAGGACAATACCCACGTGGGTTTAAGGAACTTCGGGGTTCGTTTTTTCGGTCGCATGGTCCCAAAGATACCATGGCGTGGTTTTCACAACGCGGAGTTGATTTGAAGGTGATATGATTTCTGTAGGTGTATCGCTGCATCACCTTTTCGTTGATACAGTTTGCACGCTATTGGTTGCGTGTGTATCTGGATTGATCCTGAAGTGATGGCGGTTGTCATGATTAGAAAGAGGCAGATGGAAGAATGTTTCCAGTATCGGACAGTTCATCGTCGATTGTGGATTGCCTTCTGAATGAGGCCCGGCGCGTTGGAGGTGTGTTAATTAGTAAACACTGGATGAAACCCTTTTATCTTTATACAGAGATCCTGGCTCAATCAGTTTTCTTTATCGTTGACCTGAAGCACTTTAGTTTTTACAGGCTTTTCGCCGTTGTGATTGGGTTACAATGAATATGTTTATTTATTTATTTATTTCCGCAGTTGTTTTGCAGACTGGTTGGTCGGTTGGTAATATTTTATGTCGACCTGAGGGAGGGTTTGAAGTCGAAGTATCTAAAAGTAATGATGGTCCAAAAATGCTTTGCACTCAATACGTGCTTCTATCCACTGGGAGTTCACGGCAGGTATGTTCTGACGATCTGTTTTGCTGAGTTGCCTGCAAGTGATCAGTCTAATGTTGTCTTGGTTTGTTTTCTGAACCATCGCATGAAATGTTGCATTGAAGGCATGGTTTTTCAAGTGTAATTTGCCATACAAGTTTTATTTTATTTTATTTTATTTATTTTTATTTTTTTAACCCTTTGTCCGTATGTTACATGTAATAGTATTGATTGTATGTTGTGTGTTTCCTTTTCAAAACAGGGACATGAGCTGGCCCGAAGGCTAGGACACTCAATTGTCGAGCCTCAGCCTAGCCTTTTTACATTCAAGGTCAAGGATGCGTCACTAGCGCAACTGGCAGGGGTGAGCAGAATTCGAACCTTTTGTCTTCTTACTTTTGCCTTAGTGATTATGGACATCATCTTACCAGCTACATGCGGGTTTCGGTTTTTTTATGTCTGTGAAACGGTGCTATGATTCTGGACTAGAGCAGTATGAATTTAATAAGCTCTTATGTGGATCATCTTAACGGGTTGCGAATGGTGATACTCAGATCTCTTTCGAGGAAGTTAAAGCCGAGCTAGAATTGCCTGGAAAAAAGCAAAAGAACCCTAGTTTTACTCAGGTGTGCTCCTGTAAATCTTAAATTTCTATTATTGATTCTTCGCTTCTTCAGAACACATTGTGATCTTTCACATTTAGATTGCTCTTGCTGCGTTTGAGTCTACTCCTATCATGCGTTGAAGTTTCTAGCATGAGTTAGTTCCCGAAAAAAGAGCAACCAAGCTGCATTAGCTTATTTCTGCTACATTGTGATACCTTTAGACAGGTCCATTGTTAGTAACGCACTGGGGCCTGAGTGGGCCTGTCGTCCTTCGCCTCTCTGCTTGGGCGGCTCGGGACTTATTCTCATCAAATTATCAAGGTAATTTATAGATTGAAAATATGGCATATTCCTTTGTCAACTTCTGCAAGTGTATGATGAAGCAATAAATTTAGTGAGGCTTCGCTAAACTTCGTTGATGTGCAAATCAGGGACATTATGGGTCGATTTCACGCCAAGTATGTCAGGCGAAGCTGTGTACGAAGTTCTTGCCAGTCAGAAAGATTCGTTTATGGTGAAGCTATTGTTTTGCTTGTTGCTGAACCTAGAATATGGGCATGACCAAGCTGTTGGATGTGCATGACTTCTTACGTGAAAATGGTGCCGTTTCTTAGTATTCTGTACACTTGGTCTTCGCATATCTTCAGTCGTGCTTTTTTGATTCAATGCCGTTCGCCTTGCTTAGCACTGTGATTCTGCACATGCTATTCAATCAAATGGTTGTCTTGTTCAGCAGTAGTCTTTATGTAATGCAGAAGCGGAAAGTAGGCGGTGCGGCACCGTTACGAATTCCGTTGACCCGCAGGTTTTGGCAGTACTTGTTACAACGCGAGGTTGGTCTCATAATGTGCAGTTTTTCTTCGTCATTATACTCAATGTTAATTGTGTTTTACCTCGACCTTTTCAAGGAGTGCCTTGGAAGGAACATGTTCAATTGAACAGTAGACCAGGCATGCTCTCCTATATTTGGCGGCTTCTTACGGATGTGCTTGAAGTACATTCTGGCTCATATTGATGTTCTTTGTCGTAGAACCTTGATGTTGACAGCACTTGGGCTTCTTTATCAACAAAAGCAATGCGTCAGCTATCAAGCGTCCTGAAACGATGCCCGTTTCTTGTGTCTGGCAAGGTGAATTTTAACTGTTCTGTGGTGGTTTTTAATCACTTGATGTCAAGTGTCTGTCACATCTCTTCGTGGGTGTCTAGTTGTGAAACCTCGTGTGTTAGTGAGAAGGAAGTGTTATGCTGGTTACTCAATGTTCATAACGTAAATCATCGTTTTTGTGGCTTACTCACTGCTATAGTGGACAATTTACTTATTATTATTGCAGGTTTTGCTTCATTCTTTTGTGATCCTTTTGTCTCTTGCTTTGGAAACATGCAGGGGGAGTTTAAGGATGAATTCGTTACCTCTGGTGGGGTGCCTCTTGTGGAGGTGACAGATCTTCTTGACAATGTCTTTTTTTTTTTTTTTTTTTTTTTTTTTTTTTTGACATACCGTCTTTTAAATTCTATTACGAGTGGTAGAATTCTCATCATTGCCATTTTGTGTTCTAGGTGAACTTGAAGACCATGGAGAGCCGCGTGTGCCCTGGCCTTTTTTTGGCAGGAGAAGTAAGGCTCTTCTAGATTTTCGCTGCTTCTGATTCTTTTACTTCCACCTTGAAACATGCAATGGTCGAGTCTCTCGGGTAATTACAGAACGCCTGATGGGAAGTGGTAGTTACTATCTGTTAGATTGAAGGAAGTACGTCTAAAACTAGTGTGATGGATTTTTTCTGTTGCTCTATTGCCCGACAAAAACAGGTGCTCGACATTGACGGAGTAACAGGTGGTTTTAACTTTCAGGTATGCTTCTCTCTTCTATTGAACTTGATGAATTCAAAATCTTAGTGTGAATTTATACGATATTTCTTCTGTATTGCCATTCTCCTTGAGTCTCTCTTGTGTCTGAAATTTTCCCAAACAAGAACTCCAGATTCTGTAAATATTTGTGACATTTTGATTATTCATGGCAGAATGCTTGGACCGGAGGTTACATTTCAGGCTCAGAGATTGCATCATCCGCCACTGTTTATTTACGAAGATCTTTTGTATCTGCTGTTGGAACATTAGGGTGAAAAAATTATACGTGGTCCTTCATCAGGTTGTTGATTGAAACAAAATTCTTTTATCTGACTTAGATCTCAAGTTTTTATTTCTTAGGTAAACCAACATCGAAGTAAACCTTAAAACTTCCTAATATTTTAAGTAGTCATTGTATAATGCAATCATTGACGTCATACTTTCAAATTATACAAGTATCCAATTGCTTTTAATATGTATGTACTAAATCAAAGCAGGCAATTGTTTTTGTAATCAATGAACGTTAATTGAGATATCTAATAATTCTAGAGAAGGCACAAAAGAAATCATCTATACGTTTGAGAGGAAATTTTACTAAATCTTGAATAATCTCAATGAAAATGGACTACATGTATATATTAATGGAATAAATTTAGTATATTAATTAGGATATTAATTTATATTAAAGCAGATTTAAAATATTTTTTTTATTTTTATTTTTTTATAAATAATATTAAAAAATAATATCTTGATATTATTTATAAAAGATCATTTGCATTTGTATTTCCAATATGTACCTTACATGGCCAATATTAAATAAGTGGTCAATATATGCAACATGTGGTCAACTTGTTGGTCATAATTTCAATCTATCAATTATCCACAAATACTTGCAAAGTCAAATTTATATCTACAAAGCTTTTAAGAAGTTTTTCATAAGATGTTATTAAATTTATCTATTTTTATTTCTACCTAAGTTCTCTTATCTTAATAATTATTAGTATTGATATGTGTGGACATAACATTATTCATTCTAAAGAGAAGTTTTATAAAGAACAATAATCATATGTTCAAATAATTCAAAATGTAACATATTATATTAGCCACATACTTTCATCTTTGTTTTCTTTGAAGATAAATGATAAGTCTTTTCAATTATTAATAGTTTCTTTTACCAAGACAAAAAAACTACCTTGTTATTTGATCATTATTGAGGTTTTCATAACTTCTTTCATTGTTGTATGTAGCTTTAATAAAAGATTGTTGAAATCTTTCGCCAAAGAATTAACAACTTTTGAAAAGACAAAAGCATCAAATTATCAATAATAATCATAATTAATATAAAAAGATGATTGTAGAATAGAAAAATATATTATGTTAATATAGGCAAATTTTGTTAATAGCGAAGAAGCTATTCAATCATCTTGATGGTAGTTGATGGTATATCTCAAACACTTTTCTAATACTTCATTCATCCATTTTATTTGTCTATTATTTGTCTATGCAGACTTGAAGCTTTTCATTTTTTTCTTTATTAACACTATAGGAGAAATCCAATCAATTATTTCAACTGATTTGATGAAACCAACTTGCAACAACTTTTCTAATTCGGCCTTAACTATAAGCAGGATTCATTCGACGTTCTTTTTGCCTTACTGTCATGAAATTAGGTAGTAGAGGAATTCTATATAAGGCTACTTCTAGAGGAATTTTCTTGAGATCCTTATAAGACAAAGTAAAAATATCTCGATATTGCATAATCAGAGACTTATAATGGCTTATCTCTTTGTCTGTTAATTGTGAACCAATCTTGATAAGTCTTGGTTCTTCATTATCATAAAAAACATCCAAAGTTTTTCAATCTATCTCTCGAACATGCAGTTGTTTAGTGGATCCTCTGTACCAATTCTTTGGAATTGGTAGGTAGACTGTTCTTTTATTGCCACCAATTATTTCGGTTGAGGTTTTTTTAAAGTAAAGAGGTGGATTCAATTTTTCTTTGTCCACTAACATTTTTAGGTCATTGACTTGGGTACCATCGATGTCTAATTGAAAAACATCTTCATATAGGATGTCATCTACTAATGTAGCTAAATCTAAGTCCCCTTCTTCTTCTTGATAGGTTGAAAATCCTTCTAAAAAGTTTACTAAATAGTGTCCAATAGAGTCAAGGTGGTTTATTAACCATTGGACAAATTCTCCATTGTCCTTTCAATCATACAACCTTAGGCCTAAACAACCTATAGTAGTCAAGTTTAGATTAGTTGTTTGGATTTTTGAATTAGATTCTGGAAGAGTAAAACTAACTTGTTTCTTCAATCCTTCCATCATCGGTAGTTCAGGCACATCTTAATCTGAGGAGTCACTATATTCTTCTTTATGGTGTATTCTATTAGGTTGAATAAAAAACTTAGTATGATTGTTAAAAGGTCCATATACGATGTAGAGTTTAACACCCTTTCATTCTATAGTTGTATTAGCGACTCTCAACAATGGGCGGCCTAAAAGGAGACGAAATACATTCTTATTTGAATGCATTCAAATCTCCTAGAAGATAAGTGAATATTCTTCATCCCATGTAACTACCTTGCAATCTTGAATTAAGCCCGGTGACTCTTCTGGACTTTGATTTGGCATGTTGATGATAAATGGAGATGGCCTAGTGATATTCAAGCCTAGCTTTTCTATGGTTTGTAATAGTATGATATTTAAGCCACTACTTCCATCTACCAAGAGCTTGGATAGAATCTTGTCTACCAATGAGACTTCTATTTCCACTACTTTCACATTATATAGATTTTTGGATGCCTAAATATTAGCAACAGTCTTAACCTTGGACCTTTTGTGCTTCCTAACTGGGATACCTTAATTGTCTTTGTCAATGTTGAAGAGACTTCTAATAATTAGGCTATGGTGATGTCTGCTTTGATTTTTTTTTAATTCAGCCCAATAATCATAAGGTTTATCTTCCAATTCTCTAGTTTGCCTACCTAGTGGACTTTCTACCACATCAAGAATTTCAGGTCCCTCCCAATTTCCTTCAATTGATTCCTTCTCAAATTCTCCATGTTCAGTTTCAAATGGTAATTCTCTTATCTTAGGTTCTAATTTTTGTGGTAGAATCTCAACTTTATTAGTATCATTTATGGTGGTTTTAATTACCCTATCTAACTTAGATAGATGCGTAGAGTCCTCTGATGAGGTATCTTCTATAACTAACGAGATTTGATTGATAGCCTTTGACCTTGTGATAATTGCCATGGCAGGAACTCCTATTGCTAAACCTATTCTTTTGGCTCGTGGCTCATATGAAATGAAATTAGAATATGAAGAAGAAGGTTGGCCTTGGTGACTTTGAACTTGAGGTTGCATAGTTATAGATTCAATCAAAGTTTCTAAAAATCTAACGTCTTCGATAGGTTGATCAGTGTTTTGAAGATTGCTTTAATTTTTACCATAGATTCTATTCAATGGAATTATGCCATTGGTTGTTTACAGGCCAGAGGGAGGGTGTTGAGATTGGCGGTGGATTTGATAATCATAAAACAAATTTGGGGGCTTTAGGTTATTATCACACTGAAGTTGCTTTATTCTCTTCAAATTGTCTTGAATTTATTTAGAATAATTATCTGCTAGAAGATTTAAATATACAACTTGATCCGATTGTCTATGTATTTCAGTGGGGTGGTTCCTTCCACAATTACTACAGACTACTTGGTTTTCTATCCAATAGTTATCATGTATGTGTCTATTACTGCAAAGATTATGAATCTCATATCTTTGCCATAATTGACCTGTAAGACCCTAATTAGATGAATTATAACATTATTGTTGGAAGGCAGTTCCAACATTGATTTGGTTATCATATGGAAGAACAACAGATTATTGTCTATGAAGTTGTTGTTGTTGCACAAGAATCATTGTGTAGAATTATCTAGTGTGACTTGTTTGGCTATAATTATTACACCACAAACATGAAGAATGCCTACCAGATTCTATAGGTGATGGTCCTTGCTTGAGGTTCTGATTTTTTATCAACAAGGTCATCTGTTGTGTCATCATTTTAATTTGTTGAAAAATTTGATCTTGGAATTCTTGTTGAGCTTAATGAATTTCATTCTTAATTTCTTCCTTCTACTTGGTCTTTTCTTTAGGATATATTATCTCTGGAAGGATAGGTGGCGCTCTAATGTCTAAAGGTGGTGGAAAATATCTTCTTAGATAGAAATGGATGTTGGTAGCACCATGTAGTGGTTCTTGAACGATTCGCATGTTCTGAGCATGGATTAGTATAAAGCTAGGGATTTTTGGATCTTCCTTCTTTTACATCCTTTCTTATTTTTAATCAATTTGCTATATTGTTTTAGCTATATTTTTGGCATCTACTAGAGTTGTAAGTCAGCCCTTCAGGATTTTTTTAAAAGTAACTTCATTATTAAATCCTTGAATAAAGAAATGGATTAAGGTGTCATTAGTGAAAAGTATTCCAACAAACCTAATGACCACTAACTTAAATTGTGTGATGTAAGCAATGATTTTTTTACCATTTCCTTTCCTCAAGGCAGATAAGGCTATAAGGCCATTATTTTGCTGTACCTCTGGTCTAAATTGTTCAAAGAATGCTCTCATAAGCATGTTCCAATTCACAAAGGTATTAGGAGGATTATTTTTGTATCACTCATACGCTACATCTTTTAATGTATTAGAAAACTACAGTGAATAGTATCTAGAGTCTGTGATCAAACATGTAATAAGTAATTCTAAAAACCTCTCTACATGTTTAGAAGGATCCTCATCTCTTATACCCTGAAGGTGGGCATATTTCATGGCATAGGTGTTGCTTGTAATCCTACTAATATTACAATAGGAAATCCCTTTAGTTGAACTAAGGAATTTATAAATATAAGATTTGTAGGTGCTACATCTCGAAGATCTATTAGAGATGAAATAGGTCTAAATCCTTGTTCTTCTTGAACTATCTCTAGATTGAGATGTAATGGTTTTGATACCCCTTCTACACATTGGTCCATAATATCTAAATCTAATTCTATTCTATTTGCTAACTAGACTTCCACAAACTCCTCAAGTTGACTTGGTTCTACTTGGGTTTAATTGATGGGAATTTTAGACCTAGTGGTTGTTTTTTTTTGGTAGTTTCTTTGAGTCTTCTACTGATAAGACTAGGTTTGGATGGGATGTAATCGATCAATGTATCTAACATCCTAAAAGCTTCAAAATACTGTACATGTTTCTTTTATTATATTCAATTTGTCCTTACCTAAATAGTGATTTACTTTAGAAGAAAAGGAGCAATCGACCTTGTCTCATACACGGTCATTTAATCACTCATCTTTGCCTAGGGGATTCACTATTTTACAGCGTGAGACATCATCGGCTTCAACCTAACTTTTCACCCCATAGCTTCCTAAATGAATTAATGTCCAAGAATGGAGGAAGATTATCAAAGGGCTTG